AAATAAAATTAATTATAATAATGTAATTACACTCTCATTTTTATTTTATTTTTAAAAAGTATATTATTTTTAAATAAAAAATGAATCATTTTGTATAATTAACAAATTTTGTCTTTTAAGATAATATATTTTTTAATTATAAATTAATGTAAAATAAAATATTATAATCACTTAATGTTATTAAAGGTAAAAAAACAAAGTTGAAATTTATTAGATAATTATTAATTAAAAAGGATAAATTTGTAAATAAAATTAAAAAATTTTAATCTGTTAGCAGTTTGGTACAAAAAGTTACATAAACTAACTTTTTCAATCCGCTAGTGGTTTAGACTCTAACCGCTATCCGCTAGTTTCAAACCGCTAAATAAAAATTTTACCAAACACAATATTTATAGCGGTTTTAAAATATATAAATTTACCAAACACCTATATTTAGCGGTTTAGGTAAAACCACTAACCGTTACCCCAAAATCACTATACCAAACGGGCCTAATTAATATATACTAATTTGCAACAAATTAATTAGTGATGATTTATTACACTAAAACAAATTGATTGAGTTAGTACTTATTAATTTAAAATTTTTAATTTAAAGTTAAGGTTAAGAATGAAAACTATCAATGCCAAACAATTAACACTTGATTTATAAAAAAAGAAAAAAAAGTTATTGTGTGATTGTGAGTCTATTTATTGACTTATATGTTATGTACATTGTAGCTTTTCATTTTAATTTTTTCCTTTTTTTAGTTTTGTAAATATCTTGCATCAATGGTCCCAAGCAATACGTTTTAATAATTAAAATTTTGAGTTTTCATATTAAAGATTTTAAATTTAAATTTTAGATGAGTGAAAAAAAAGATAAGAAGAAAAATCTATCCTTTATTATATATATTGTCCTCGTTCAAAAAAACCAGAAAAAAAAATTCCATTTTATCACGTACATGTTGTATATCATGAAATTAACATCTCTTATTATCTAATTCAATTTTAATACTCATGTGATTTTTTATTTTTAAAATATGAATTTTAGATAAAAATTAAATATAGAATATAAATAATACGTATTGAAAAAAGTTTTTAATTATCATTTATATACATTGGTAAATTTTTATATAAAATTTATATTTAAAAAATAAAAAATTAAATTAAGACAATTAACATTTAACAAAAAAATTACTACTTCTACTGAAAATGATTATAAGTAAGCCGTTTGGAAAATATTCCTTTCCGCAGCCGCAGGATTGTTTGTTATTAATTGGAACAACAATATGATGACTTAAACATAGATAATTGATTAACGATCCGACGAAATAAACATATATAAAATCTCCAAATTACATTTCAATTGTGATCTGTTTAATCCTTGGTTTTAACAACGTTGACAGCATAAAGGCTTCCCGGTACAAAACAAGCCATCGTCAGGCAGACGCTGATCCAGAACTCCTTCTGCAATTCCACAAAAAACAACAACCAAAGTAATATTTAAAACTATTATTTACTATGAAATTAACCAAAGAGTCTCGTGCATTATAATTCAAACTATATCATACTTTAAAATAGAAACAGTTGAATGGAAAGAAAGCTTTTCAATACCAGTAGATTCATCCCTTATATAACAGTTATTGTTATGCAATTCCATACAAATTGCACAAAGAATTTTTTGTTGACCAAAAAATATTAAAAAAAATTTTAAAAAAATTTTCTCCCTAGGCAAGGCTGGGTTAAGAAGGGTATAGAAGACCAACCACTACTCCCCTTCGTTTCAAAACGGCAACAGGGGGCAAGAATAGAGCCAAGGTGAAGTCGATGCAGCCGCCGTCACCACCACAGTCGCACTTAAAGCAGTCGCACTTAATGGTGAAGCACATGGTTGCAGAAAAAGAGAAAGCTATATGTTTGGTTTGGGTTAATTATCTGCTGAAGCCAAATGGTTGGGTTTGGGTCAATTTATTAATGAATCCCAGGGAAATTAAATTGTATGTATGGGCCCTGGAAATCTGATTCATTTTGCTTTACTGTGCTTACCGGTTCAATTTTTGCAATGGAATGCAAGCATCTGAGAGTCAAGAATCAAGAATCAAGCCAGTATAATATAATAATATGGAGTATAAATGCTTTGGGAATTTTTATACTAAAAGATTGAGGAGGATAAGAATAAAGCAGTCATTGCATTGAACAAGAATTATATTTTTCTTTTGTTATTTAAAAAAAAGTAGTTGTGATTAATTTCTTGATAATAAAAATTTACTGTAAATTTTCCTTTCTTCATTCAACTTTAGTTTTTTTAATTTGATTTTTTAACTTTTAAAACATAAATTTTAAATGAAAATTTAACAACATGCAAGAATGATCATATACCTACAGATTTTTACCGTAGGTATAAGTCTTGAGATGCATATACCTACAGATTTTTATCATATATCTATGGTTTTTGTCCATAGCTAAATGGCAAAAATGCTGTAGTGACAGTTGAAAATTTCCTTCTTCTTCTTCTTCTTCTTCTTCTTCTTCTTCTTCTTCTTCTTCTTCTTCTTCTTCTTCTTCTTCTTCTTC